AGCTCAGCACTCAGGGGGCTTGGAGGGAAGATATCTCCTTTTGGAGGTAAGGTACTTATCTTTCTCCTGGTAATGCTACAGACAGCTGGGTTCTTGTCCCAAACACCAACCCGAAAGTGAGGACAAGGTTTTGAGAGAAAGGAAAAATTGATTTCCTTGCTTTGCTGGCCCAGGAGAAACTCCAGGGACCCTTGTTCCAGGTGCATCAGGGGAACAGAGGACTTTAAAGGTGATCCAAAGGCTACCTTCCAGGGGTGCCCCATCAGGGGCCGTGATTCAGCTGTAGCCTTGAAAGATGGCTGTTTCTTAGTTCTTGTGGTGCCACTCCTCTATGATGGACATACTTCATCCTTGTGGTGTGTGTGTGTTACAGACAAGTAACTTGGCCTAGGTGTGGAAGAAGGGTAATATGGCTTCTCAAGGTTAAGAAGGGGGAGAAGGAGATAAGAAAGGAAAAAAACCCAGAAAGTCCACATCAGGGTCACGTTCATAGCACAAAGTGGCCCCTGTTACAATAAATGTTCCCATTCATCACCGAAATTTCAAGGGCATTAAGAGGAAAATCATCTGTCTCTGGTCAGATGATTGCGTTGGGGACAAGAACCCAGGTCTTTGTCGGTTCTTAAGGGAGGGTGAACATGGGAAAGGACCTGCTGGCTAGGTGACTGCAAACCTGGATTTCTATGGCTGTGAATGTCATGAGAAGCTTATATATTCAAGATTTAGTGTCCCCTGCTCTGGTATTAATTTCAGGGAGGGTCTCAGTTATGCCATTGTAAGTTGGAAGTGACTGGCAGGAGCTTTCTGCACACTCTTCTCAGACATGGTGGACATGTCTTGAAAAGAGCTGAGTTCTTCCTGTCTGGCCCTGGGCCAGCAGCTCTGGAGGAATGACCACTGTGGAGCTGGGTTCAGGCTGCCTGGCTCTGGGAAAGGGTGCTGGGTGATCACCAGACACCCCCTCTCTACCCTGAACCCTGGAAGTGCAGCTGCCCAGTCTCTCCAGCTGCTCTTGCCTGATGTGCAGCCTGAGGCCACAGGGCTGCCCCTGGGTCAGATTGTTCCTACTTCCTCCCTGCAGGCAGCACCCTGTAGCTGGTGTCCAAGGAGGGCCACTCAGGCCTCCTTCCTGCTCGCCAGCATTTCTAGGGCCCTGTTCCAGTTGTGGCTTTTGATCCAGGGTTTCTCGAGCTGGGCACAACTGCCAGTGTGGACCACATAATTCTTTGTCGTGGGCTCTGTGCTGTGCTGTGCATTGCAGGGTGTTAACTACACATCTGACCTTGAGAGGCTAATAGGGCTTCTTAGTTGGGACAATTGAAGAAATCTTTGAGCCTCCATGAATTCCGTGGGGGGATAGTCACCTCTTGTTACAGAGCAGTGATGTGGTGGATGGAGAATGCACTTTTAATAAAGAATTAAATAGAATTTTTTAAAAAAATTCAGTATTCTACTTTTGCAGGCAAGAGGAGCCTTTTCTCTTTTTTTAAATTGTACTGTGAATTGAGGCCAGAGGTGCTTCTGTACTGAGCCAAATCTTTCACTCTTTTTTTTTTTTTTTTCTTTTTTTGGGATACAGGCTCTAGGCTCTTGCTAAGTTGCTAAGGCCTTGCAAAGTTGCTGAGGCTGGCTTGAACTTTGGTCCTTCTGCAGGAGTCTCCTGAGTCACTGGGATTAAAGGCATGTGCCACCATTTCTGGCTAACATGAGCCTTTTTTGACATAACTTTTATTTCAATTAGTATGTGTGTCATGGATCCCCTGGTGAATTTTTTAAAACTTTAATTTTGATATAGTCTCAGACTTGAGAAAATTTGCAAAAGAACACAAAGAACTCTGTACCCCAGCTGTTCAATGTGTCCTCTCTCCCTCCTCCCCACCTTCTTCTTTCTGTGTGACCCTCCCCAGCATGCTGGGAGGGGCACAGGGCGCTCTTGACCACAACACCATGTTCTTTCTCTAAGATGCCAGTGCCTGATAGTGGACCCAGACCACTGAGGGACAGGGCTTTGCAACCACCCCAGGGCAGGTCTCTCATGCCATACAAGGGTAGAGTTTGTGACAATTCATGGATCACGTTTCCTTTTAGGAAGATTGCGCATTCATATTGGAGTTCCTGGATATTATGTGATTTTGCCTGCTTATTTTTCTTCCTTATGCACCATCATTTCATTGAGATCTTTTTGCTTTTAGCCCATACTTGGTTATGTTTGTGTTGCTTTTACTTATTTGTAATATTCATGAGTAGAAGAGAAAGCATGCTTCGCCAATTTTAGAAGTCATTTGTATTAATTTTTAAATATTTTCTTAGCCCTGATATTTACTAACTAGAAATTTTCTTTTTGTTTTTGTTAGAAGAATGCTCTATCAATGATTCTAATCGTTTTGAATGTCAAACTATTGATTTTCTAAGTATATTGACGAAGTTCAGTATTTTTCTCTTTGGTATTGTTTCTTGTTTTTATGTTAAATCATGTTTTAATTCCTTCTTAATATCTGAGTGTGTTTAAACTAATTATTATTATCTTAGAAATGGAAATTCTCCTCAATTCTAATTTGGCAGCATCTTGAGAATGGTGATATTTATTTATATTTCTGAGATAAGAAAATATGATGTATTTTCTGTATTATGTAAGTTTACGTAGACATTAGAAAAAAGTCTTAAAAATTTTTTCATTAATAATGTCATAATTAATTTGTTTATAAGTTTATATTTTTAATACCAAGGATTGAGCCCTAAAGCCCTCAACCACTGAGACATATCCCTAGCCCTTTTTATTTTTTTAAATTTGAGAAGGGGTTTTGCTAAGTTGCTAGGGATTTGGTAAGTTGCTAGGGATTCGCCAAGTTGCTGAGGCTAGTGTTAAACTTGTGATACTTCTGCCTCAGCCTCCTAAGCTACTTGGACTAGAGGCATGCACAAACATGCCCAGCCTCATCCCATGTACTTTGATTATCCCACAGTGTTCCTCTAATCAATTAGAACTGTTCTACACTGTACAGTCAGAGCACGTGGACATATAGGGGACCAGGCAACATTGGGGTGAATTTCTGTAAGGTCATATCCACTAACAATCCTTGCTTTGGATGACTTTCTAGGGTCCCTAATCCCCACTGCTCCCTAGTGCCATTCAGAGACCCATGCCACCTCTTGGGGTGATCTTCCTGGCCCCTGGGGCCCGCCTTGGGGAGCCTGCTGATCTCCTTCTTCTCCTTCTGCAGAGCTGACCTGCTCTGAAGGGCCTCGGTGCTCTGACTCCACCTTCTCAGCTCCTCAGAATCCTTGTCCTCCGCAGCCTGGCCTCCTTCTCCTGCACTTGACCTCTCTCCCTCTCTACTATGCTCAGTGTTTAAAAATGCTAGAATGTGTCTTATATTTCCAAAATCTGCCCCCTGCAGTTCCCTCCTGCTTTTCAGTCCTTAAGAGCCAAACTGCAGTCGACTTTATAGATGGCCTTAGTGCTGCGGCGTCTCTGTGTTGGCATCTCCACGAGTGCATTTTCAAAAAGGAGGGACCAAATGGATGAACACTAATGTACAGTGTCTATCCCACGTCTTTCAGAATTATGGTTCTAATCAATGTTAGCATTTAAAAGTTATTTTCTCAGGGATTTTTGTAGAATTTTATCTCAAGATAAGTGTTAGGTCAAGATGTAGATAGAACACTGAGAAAGTAAAAACCTTTAAAGTGTCATGAGATACAGCAGATCCCAACGCCAGTCACTGTGTGTGTGTGTGTGTGTGTGCGCGCGCCTACATGCATGCACATACAGGCACAGGCACGTGTAGGCACAGGCATATGCACGTGTCCACTTGCACTTGGTGGGATGGTCCTACTCTGGGCCTGCCTAGGGGCAATTCATTTTGGGGCCCGCCACTGCATCCTGAGCCTGAACACAGTCTGATGATTGAGAGGGGAGAACTAAACCTGCCTGAATGTGAAGGCAGCACTTGCAACAGGCTTTGCTCTCTGCCAGCCCAGTAAGGTAGCCTCAGAGCTCCCCTCTTCACAGAGACCTGCGAAGCATGTGACATCCAGACGACCTCTGTCTGAGCTTCTCCACCCCTACTGAATACCTTGTCTTGGTCAGGGAAGCCTTTCCTGACATGCTGGGGTTACTCTCTGCCATCCCAGCAAAGTGTTAGCTAATTTACAAATTTTATTTCCGGCAGAGCGACAATCTTGCCCTTGAACATGCAAACCCATTTCATTTGTAGCTGCACTTTCCTGTTTTCATCCTCTTGTTGTGTCTTATGCAATCCTTTACACAGGGCAAAACTGACCACAGAGCAATTTGTCCCACCTTTCTTCATTTAGAAACAGTCTTTTGCCTTCAAGGAAGAAAAGTTGGGAGGAAGAACAGTGTTCTTGTATAGGACCTTGTCCTGGTGAGAGTTGCTCCACAGGTCCCAGATCCCAGAGTTACATCAAAGGCCATTTGAGACACCTCTTATACCAAGAGCACACATGAGTCAGGAGCCAGGGCCAGGGCCAGAATATAGGGACCTGGACAGCTGAGGTCTGGCCCTGGCCTACCTGTGTCTTGTGTGGAGTCCTCCAGGGTCTCCTATGGACCCCTCCTGTTTCCATTAGGAAGCAGGAGAGATGTCTGCTCCTTGGAGAACGTGACCTTCCACCCGGCTCTCACCACAGCACTTGTGACCACTGCACTTGTGACTATTGTGAGTGCACCGTGAATCCACTAACTGGTCTGTCTCCAAGCACACTGCCACTCCCTGTGCACCCAGCAGAGGGGGTAGGAGGGAGCCGCTGGTGGGGATGGGCAGCAGGCCAGCAGAACACTGCTTTTGATTTCTGCACGTCCAGACCGGTCCCCGGACCTTCATAGCTGGGGCAGTGTTAGATCCTACTTGTCCCTCCGCTGGGCCACAGTTTACTCTCAGGGGTCTGTGATTGGAGGATTCAGGAGGTGGGGTAGGGCCGGACCAACAGATAAACACTGATCACAACAAGTCCCCACTTTTCTGCTCGCCAGAGGCTCTCAGAACTGAAGGCCATCCTGACAGAGGCCTGTCTGCTAAGTACACAGCACCATGCCTATGATACTGGGTTATTGGGACGTCCGTGGGGTAAGCAAAGGTCCTTTGGCAGGTGGGATGGGGATGAGGGACTAGGCTGTGCAGATCAGCTTGGGGTAGTGGGTTCTAGAACATTGATCCTCTTTAGGATTTTCTGGAGTCCCCGGCCTGTCCCTGACAGGAGGCCTGTGCCAGACTCTGTGTGTGTGTGTGTTTGTGTGTGTGTGTGCATGTGTGTGTGTGTGTGTGTCCCCACTGGCATGAGTGCTGGTGATAGGTGTAGGGTGGTAGGGAGAGGGCTCACCTGCAATTAATGAGTTCTTCTATCTCTAACCTCTGCCATGACCATCTCTCCCAGCTTACTAACCCCATCCGCCTGCTCCTGGAATACACAGACTCAAACTATGAGGAGAAGAGATACACCATGGGGGACGGTAATGGCACCCTCCTGTTCAGACCCCTGCCCAGCTCCTCCTGCTGATTGGTGCAATGAGACCATGCCTGGCCACTCTGTGCTCAGGCCTACAACCCTCCTCCTGCTGGACCTAGGGCCTGATGCTTCCTGAATTTGAGGATACATCTTGGTCTGAAAAGGCATGATGTTGGCAGCAGAGTCCCAGATCCCTCTCCAAGAGCAACTGGGTTGGATTCCCCTTAAGGCTTGCCTGAACCTTTCGTAAGCCTTAGTAGTTTAGGATCCAACAGTAATTATGAGCATTGTCCTCTCTATACCCACCCAAATCTAGGAATGTGAGGCTGAGTGACTCAGATTTCACATTCACCTTCTCAGGGGTCTTATCCCTGATCCCTTGGGAGGATGCTGGGGAAGGGGGGTTGGACTCAGGGGAGGTTTGCTTTCACATCATCTTCTCCCCCACAGCTCCCAATTACGACAAAAGCCAGTGGCTGGATGAGAAATTCAAGCTGGGCCTGGACTTTCCCAATGTAGGTGGGGAGGATGGTGTGGTTGGGGAAAGTGAAGCCATCTTTGTCTCATCTCCTTGGTCCAGGGTAGAGTTTCTAGGGCCAGAGCTTCTCCTCAACTGACCTCATTGCTGTGTGTGTTACTCTTTGCCCCAACATCACCTCTGATGGATGGGTGTCTACACTGTCTTTGAGTGATGGTCTGTGTCCCAGATCATACACTTATTCCACAGTGTGTTTGTGTAGTGATTACCATGGGCCAGACACACTAATGCCAGGTCTCACATGTGCCCTAAATCAGGGAAGGGGGACTGGGATTAGGTGGCTCACCTGACCATCCCTGGTTGTCCATCCAGCTGCCCTACTTGATTGACGGGCCTCACAGGATCACCCAGAGCAACGCCATCCTGCGCTACCTTGCCCGCAAGCACAACCTGTGTGAGTGGGGCTGGCTGCAGGGTGTGGGGGATGGTGGCCGTGTCCCTGGCTTGGCTGGGTGGGAGGCTGAAGGTGTGTCCCTCTTGTGTGGGCCATAGGTGGGGAGACAGAAGAGGAGATGATTCGTGTGGACATTTTGGAGAACCAGGCTATGGACACTCGTGTACAACTTGCCGTGATCTGCTACAGCCCTGACTTTGTGAGTCACAGTTCTGGAGCAGACAGGATTTAGGGGATTTAAACCCGTGCTTTCACATCTCTATTGGTCCAGTTCAACATTTGGATTCCTTAGTGGTACTCCTTCTCCAAGCTTTCTTATCTTGCCAACAGACTGACTCTCATAACCTATGAAATCTTGTCATAGAAACACTGGTGGATCAGTTCTTACCACTCTTGGGGTACAGTCCAGACTCCAATATGACATCCAGTTTCTATACAGTAGAGTCAGGCATTCAGATTCTCTCCACCTTGACCTCTGCCATGGCCACTGTCTTCCACAGCTTCATACTACCTCCCTGCTCCTGGAATACAGAGATTGAAAACTCAAGAAGTAATAGACGAGGGAATGTAATGCACTCTTCTCTTCAGACATGTTTCCTCCGTGTTTTGTCCTTGACACCAGCAGGTGTCAGAACCTTTCCCAATAAGCAGCTCAGAGTCATCCATCGAACTTTCCTTCTTTCTTGCAACATCAAACACTCCTTAACGTTATGCATGTTACTCAGATATGCATTTCATCCTTTAACCTCCTATTGGGTAGAACTTTGTTATATCTTCAGAGCTCTTTTAGTACTTTGCTTCTTCAAGTCCATAGCCTGCCATATACTCCTGAGTCTGACTCACGGGATATGTACTAGACCCACGAGTGGTGACAATTTCAGGGACCATGTTGTGTTCCTGTCTGACTTTATATCACTCTGAGAGATCGGAATGCTACCAGATAGGAGTCTAAGCAGTGGTGTTGCAGGGAATGAAAACCTCACCCTGACACAGGCTCAGGTGCATGGCAGGTGCTCAGCCCTGGCAGGTGGGCCATGCACACCACTGCTGATGCCAGCCCCTCAGGCAGGGAGCTCCTGTCTGAGGGTGGTGACAGCTGATTTCTGCCTCAGGAGAAAAAGAAGCCTGAGTTCTTGGAGACCCTGCCTGAGAAGATGAAGCTCTACTCACAGTTCCTGGGGAAGCGGCCCTGGTTTGCAGGGGACAAGGTAAAAGGGGAGGAGTCTGGAGGTGTCACTCTTTCCAGGGTAGAGATTTTCATGCCCACTCATCCTCAGCTTTCTGCAGATCACCTTTGTGGATTTCATCACTTATGATGTCCTGGACCAGCACCTTCTATTTGAACCCAAGTGCCTGGAGGCATTCCCAAACCTGAAGGACTTCATGTCCCGCTTTGAGGTGATGCCCTGTTCTTCCTCACCCTTCAATGCCTCTTTTCCTTCCTGTTTTCCATGAGACTTTCCATATCTCAGAGGTTACAAAAGGAACAACTAGCACGTTTTGAGGCCTGGATTTTTTCCAGGACCTGTGCTCAAAAGTTACGTCTACCTTGACTAATTTATTGACACAGCAACCTGCAAGGCTTTAGATAGAATTACCAGGCACATTGGACAGAGATGGAAACTGGGACTGTAGAGGGGAAGTCTTTTGCTCAAGGTCCCAGTTCCAGTGGACACTGTGCTGGGCTCTCTGTCAGCCTTGGCTCCTAAGGCCCTGGTGGGTGTCTGTCCTGCCTTCTGTCAGAAGGAGCAACCTCAGGCCCTCATGCAGCCTGGGTTTCACAGCCCAGGATACTGTGCAGGGGGAGAGCAAGGCAGGGTGTGTGCAGCTGGAGGTGGGAGGCTGAGATGAGGCTGGGGGACTGGCAGAGCAAGGCCCAGACAGTGTTGAGAGCTGCTCTGCAGCAGGCTTGGCTCCATCAGATGCCACCTGGGGAAGCACCAGTGCTGGGTGAGTACATGTGGGGGACTTTGGGGGTTTTTTCCTCAGTTGTTCCAGGTGGGTATTCTATGCCCTCCTTTTCATCATTTCTTCCTCTTCATTATCTCGCATGTTCTATTTTAAATGGTGCCATACTCTCACTTTAACTCTTATTCTCTGGGCATTCTCCTTTGTATCTAATGCTATATCTGGAGAGTAGGACTGTAAAGATGACCCCATGCTGGGACCAAGTCCTGCAGGGAATGTCAAGCACCAGACTAGGAGATGCCCCTGGTGCTAGCTGGGTGCTAGGGAATGTGGTCTGGGCCTCACTCCACAGCTAATTAGGGTCACCCTGAGTCCACTTGTTTGTCATCAACAAAGCCTTTTTTTTTTTTTTTTTTAGAGATTTTAAAGATTTGAGAATTTGAGGCATTAGTTCAACTGGTTTTTCATCCTGGGATCTGAGTTCCTCTCTCCTCCCACTTCAGCTGAGAATGTACTTTGCTTCCCAGCTGGTTCTCATTAGCTCTGGCTCTCTTCCTGGGAGTGGCCTTGGAGCTTGTGTAAGAGCTGGCACAACTGTGGGGTCAAAGAGTGGGGGGGGGGCGGAGCAGAGGGCTACAGCCTGAGGCTGGCTGGGCCTGGCTTGTGTGCAGGCAGCCCTGACACTATGAATCCTTCAGATGTGATCTGGGTATTTTTCCTGGTAAGGTTGGTGCACAGCACACCTGAGTATCATTCAACCTGTTTTGCTGTGCAGGAGATGGGGTAGTTTGGGGCACAGTGAAAACAGGCTCAGGTATCAGCTGGAGAAGTTTGAGCTTTTCTGATCCAGGTGGTGAATGGTTACAGCTGGCCAGTCCTTTCTTCGTGGGTGTAAGCTAAAATAACCAAAAAAGTCTCGGCACCGTGATGAAAGTACAAATAACCCGGACAGGACCAGACTTCATGGTTCAGCTATGCCTTTCCTTTAGCAGCGGAGTTAGGCACTGGATGGCTCACTATCTGGGTAGAAAATGGCTCTGAAGACAGGGGAGGTATGGTTTATATAGGTTACATTGGGGGATGTCTTAGTCCTTGCAGACTTTAACCGCAGGTGGGCAAAATGTTGCAAACATCTGGAACTTGCTCCTTTTGGGCACAGTTTTTAATTAAACAGTGTTTTTAGAGGGCAGGATGGAAGGTTCCAGGCTCAAAGTCCAGTGCTCACCTGACCTCCAGGGGTCATTGTATTGCCACCGGGAAGATCAATGTGAAGTTTCACTGACATGTCACTGAGAAACGATTTATTTATCAGAAGGATCCAAGGTTCAGCTTCCCTCTCCCACCCTCCTCCGGAGTCACACACTGTCTTGGGGGGGCGGTTATCAATGGATCCTCTAGCGTTCTTCATCCTGGATTTGCTGAGTCACTGGGTGACATCTGGGCTTTGCCAAGCTGCACAGGCTTGTTCTCAGCCCCTTTGTTCTGCTAGATCCTTCCTCCTTATCATTACCCAAATGCCAGGAGGCCTCAAGGTGAAAAAAGGAGAATGTTTGTGCGCATAGGGAGTGCCGGGGCCTCAGTGCGGAGGTTGTGGGGGAGGGAGGAGTGCAGCGAGAGCCCAGAGCCAAGCTGGGTTCAGCCCAACCCCACTCAGTAGCCCTGGGAGAATGAGGAAGTTGCTTTCCCTGTTTGCACCTCAGATCCTTGGTGGATTTTCCGTATCCACATTACAAACTCAAGTGCCTGTTCCTGGACTGGGGCTGCTGGAACCCAAAGAGGCAGCAGATCTCAAATCCTGCCTTTTCTTTCCCACTCCCAGGGACTGAAGAAGATATCTACCTACATGAAGTCCAGCCAATTCCTTCGCAGTCCTCTGTATTTAAAACTGGCCCAGTGGAGCAATAAATAGGACCCTGTCATTTGAAGAGGTGGGATCCATCAATGCATCTGCTGGCCCTGATGTTCCTGGCACCCCTAGCTTCAATCTTCTTCCTTTTCCCTTCCGGCTCCCCTTTCCTCTGCAAGCCCTTTTCAGAACCCTTTCTTCTGCCCAACTTCTCCCCCAGTAAATCCATTGTAAGCTACAGCTCCCCCTTTTCTTTAGGAAAGCCCCTCTTCCCCTTCCTCATTCCTGCCCTGAATCCAACCAGACAGTCCTCAGCTCTGCTTGGAGGAGCATGACTGACCCTGTGCTCCCCTGCACTGCCCCAGACTCCAGTACTACCTGGTGAGCTGGCTCTGGTTCCCAGCATGGCAGCTGCCCAGCCCTGTCTGACCCCAATAAAGCCTGGACCACACTTGCTCTGTGTCTGTGTCATTGCCTCTCACCCTCAGGGCTCACTGTGTGGCTGTGGTCTGTTGTCCACAGCAGGAACTGGGTGCGTGGGGGTGTGGGGTGGGTGCTCTGTGTGGTCAGAAAGGGTATGAGGTCACTTAAGGTTGTCGCTGTCCCCTGTCCATGTCCCTGTGGTCCTCACCATGGGATTCCTATAGAAGGGTGCTCCTTCCATGCCAGGGTTCCTCATCCATGTGGCAGGGTGCAAGGCTCCATAGGCCATGTGCAGCTAGGTGTCATGGTTCAGAGAGGTGCTGGGCTGATGGGAAGGGGCTAAGGAGCCCACAGGTGACCGCATTCTGATCCTTCTCCTGGAAGCATTCCTGGTCTGGACAGCCCTCCTCTGTGTTCCCAGGACGTTCTCCATGAACACACCCCACTGTGTTGTAGTTGGTGTTGTGGCTGTTGTCACCCCACTCAGTCACAAGCTCATTGAGGAGAGGGCGCAGGGCTTGTTGGACTTTTTAATCTCTGATATGTCTGGTAGTGTCTGGTATATGGTCAATGCTCAGGAAATTTGGAAATTGGAAAAAATTATCTCTGAGGAAGCCTTGGCCTGCCTGCATAGCCAGTACTGGGATTTACAGCTCTGCAGGTATTATAGTATGAGCCAGTAGCTCTCTCCCACTTCAGCACTGAAGACGTTCTAGCTGTCCTTGGAACAATGTGACCTGAGATGCGCAGGCCTAGTTTCCTGGGTCATGAAGCAGCAAGCATGTGGTCAGACCATACATAATTACTAGGTAGAGCAGCATCCCACGGAACTTTAATAACTCAGGTGACTGCAGCAGATAGAAAACCAAGAGCCAATTCAAACATGGGCAAAGGATTCAAATAGGTGTTTCTCCAGAGAAGACACACAAATGCCAATAAATACGTGAAATATTGTTCAACTTCGCGAATCATTGGAGAAATGTAAGTCAAAACTACAATGATCCTCTCCCTTACACACATTAGGATGACGATGACAGCCATAAGTTTGGTAATTTTGCAGAGTGATTGGAAAACTTTTTCCCTTTTGGAGGGAAAGTAAAATGGTATAGCTACTGTAGAAATCAATACGATGGTACCTCAAAAAAAATAAAATAAAAATAAAAAATAGAAGCACTCTGTAATGTACCAATTCCGTTTCTGGGTACATACTCCACAGAAGTCAAAGCAACTTTTCAAATACATATTTCCAAATATGTATTAGTATACCCATATCTATAGTGGCATTATTTATAACAGTAAAATATGGATGCAAACCATGAGTCTACCTACCAATGAATGGATAAACAAAATATGATCTTTAAATACAAAGGGATATTATTCAGTATTGAAAGAAAATTTGACACATGATAAAATATGGATAAACCTTGAGTGCATTATGCTAATTGAAATGAAGCAGTCACAAACATTCCAAACCTTCATGATTCCACTTCTTTGAGGGAGGCAGGATAGTCACAGTCTGGGATATGGAAAGTAAAATGGTGGTTTCCAGGGGCTAGGGAGAGAAGGGAATGGGGAGCTATTGTTTAGTGGGTAAAACTTCCATTTTCACAAGTCGAAAAGAGTTTGGGATATGGGTGGTGGTGATGGGTGCACAATGTTAGGAATGTGCATAATAATTACTGAACCGTTCAAATGGGTAAAATGCTAAATTTACACTATGACTTATAAATACAATGAATGAATAATGAGACAAAGCAGACAACAACACGTGGCTGTTCTTTCCTGATCCCTGATCTAGAAGCTCAAATTAAAAGAACAAGATAAGCCAGGTGTGGTGGTGCTCATCTATAATCCCAAGTACTCAGAAGGCTGAGGCAGGAGGATTGAAAGTTTAAGGCCAGCTTCAATAACTTAGTGAGACCCCCCTCTTAAAATAATTTTTTTAGAAAGGTTTGGGGGTGTAGATCAGTGGTAGAGTATCCCTGGGTTCAATCTCCAGTATCAGGAAAAACAAACAAAAACAAAAACTATATTAATCTGCTTATTAGATTTGAAATTTTATTTTACATTTTAAGTCACTTGCTCAAGGTCCCAGTGCCAGTGGAGGCTGTGCTGGGCTCCCTGTTAGCCCCTGGCTTCTAAGGGCCCCTCCCTGATTTCTGTTTAAAGGAAAAGCCATACCTGATCTGGATCAGGCTTCGCTCAATCAGGTGCTCCACCGGGACGCACCGAGACCCTGGTCCGTGAATGGGGCTGAAGGTGAATTATGTGGGACCCTGAGGGAGGATTTTTTTTATACAGGGGTGTTCCACAGTGGGACAACCTTCACTCTTCCTCTTTTCCTCCTTCCCCTCAATACCTTCAGCTTTATATCTGTGACATGGGGTCATACACGTATTTTCACGCACACTCACTGATCTTCTCTGTATAAGGTTAGCTAGTCAGGCTCAGTGGGACATGTAAAGATGCCCCTATCCTAGGACTGAGTGCAGCAGGAAATAGCAGACACCTAACTACAAGGTGCCTGTGGTACACCTGGGTGCTGGGGATCACAGCCTGCAAGCTCACCTCACTGTCAATCACAAGTCACCCCAAGCCTACTTGTTTTGCTTTATATATATATATATATATATATATATATATATATATATATATATTTTAGTTGTCAATGAACCTTTATTTTATTTATTTATATGTGGTGCTGAGAATCCAACCCAGTGCCTCACACATGCTAGGCAAGCCCTCTACCACTGAGCTACATAACCCCAGCCCAAAGTCCACTTTTTTGTCACCAACAAACTTTTAGTAGAGATATGAGGATCTGAGGGGACAGTAATTCAGCCTGGGATCTGTTTTCCTTTCCCACTCCCTATCTGAGGATCTGCTTTCTCAGCTAGTTCTCCTCAGCTCTGGATCTGTTCCAGGCTGAGTGGCCTTGGGGATTGTGTAAGGGCTGGCAGGACCGTGGGGGTGAGGCAGGGAGGGGTGGGGTAGAAGAGAGGGGAGGGCTGCAGCCTGAGGCCTCTGACCCCTCTGAAATGATCTGGCACTCACTTTCCTGGGGGGTGGGTAGAAGACACAGGATACCACAGAAGGTCATATGGCCTGGTCTGTAGCAGGGCTGGAGATGAGGTTAGGTTGGGGTACAGTGACACTGGCTTCACTCAGTCTGAATTTTCTGTTCTGCTTCAGGGGAATGATTAAAGGTGGCTTGGCCTTTCAAGTTTGTTCACCGCCCCTGTCTAATTTCACCCAGGATTTGCTGAGTCACTGGGTGAGACCTGGGCTCTCTTGTAAGTTGCACAGCTATATTCTGAGCCCCTTCATCCTGCTAGAGCCATCTTCTTGTTTTAAACCAGACATACCAGAAGCATCCCCATGAAAAAGGAGAAGGTTTGTGCAGACGGAGAGGGACAGGGTTCCCTACAGAGAGGACCAGGGGAAAGTGCGGCAGAGAACTCAGAACTGGAGAGACAGAGCCAGGTTCCATCCAGCTCGTCCAACTCACTGTGAGCTGTGTGGGAAGGGAAAGTGAGGACCGAGGGACAGGTAAGCGAGAAATGAAAGACGGGGACCAGGCAGAGATACACACGAGAGACAAATGAAGGCCATCTCTCTGTAGGAGAGAGAGGCAACACAGGCTTGAGTTCTGGGACTTTTATGGGGGAGACTCAGGAACCAGAGCCCAGAGGGTCCTAATGTGCAGTGAAGGGTCGGGTTGGTATGAGGGAGTGGTGAGCCTTTCTCAGAAACGCCTATGGGCCAGAAAGCAAAACTTTTTCCTTAAAATGGCGGCTGTCACTTAAGATGGCCGTCCAGATGCTAAGCAAGGACCTTAGAGTGTGAGCATGAGGAAGTTCCTTAACCTCTCTGCCCTTCGGCTTCCCTGTTGATAAATGCTGAATATAGAACTTAATCTTGCAGGATTGCTGAGTGGATTTTCTAAACCTACATTGTAATTTCTAGTGGGTATAAAACACCTTGCATAGGGTCCATTCACGGGAAATTGAAGGGTGTCCTTCCAGACCCTAGAAACTGGGGTGACTGTGCGCTGCTCAGCACTGGAGCTCTCCTGGCAGGGCTGCTCCTGCACTGGGGCTGCTCCAGCCCAGTGGGACAGCAGCCCTGAGCTCCTGCTTCCTCTTGCCACTCACAGGGCCTGAAAAATACATGAAGTCCAGCCGCTTCCTCCCAACACCTGTGTTCACAGAGATGGCCACAGGTAGGGCCTAGGGGAGGGCAGGAGCAGGGTGTGAGGAGCCTGTCTCCTTCCTGCCACCCAGGTCCTGAGGAGCAGCCGGACCCCCGCACTTTCTCGTTCCTTCCCCTTCTTTTTATTCCCTTCTCACACCGAGGCCTTATCAGCCCCCTTTTCTCCCACCAACCCCAGTCCCATTCAGGACCTTTAAACCTCAGCTCCTCATTTTCCCCATCCTAACCTTTCAGTGTCCTGAATTAAACCAACCCAAAGTCCAGCGGCTGTGCCAGCTTTGACTGTTCCCTCCCTCTGGAGCTAGGCCCTGTGCTGCCCAGTGTTACCCACTATTGCCCGCTGCTCACCTTGGTCCCCAGTAAGGACCCTGCAGTAGCCCTGGCCTGCTGCCCATCAAGCCTGAACCCCACTTGTTCTTCACTTGTCCTGTTGCCTCTGGCTCCCTGCACTCACAGCCTTTCACTGCTACTTCTAAGGGACTGACTCTGACCCGGGCACTGGTTCATGGGGATTCTGGTGGGGGTCAGAAGGAATTTTGAGACTTCCTGGTCCCATTTTTGACAGTGGCCCAGGAGACTGACTGTCTAGAAAATGGAGGAGTCCTTTCTGTCAGGAATCTCCCTTCCTCCTGAGCATCCCAGAGCCTTCCCAAGGGGAAGCAGGCCTGCGTGTG